TTTGTAATTATCTTAATTTAGGAAGAAATATCACGACAAACACGAGCAGCACAATACTATCGATACCCGTCTCGCTTCGACGAACGCAACCGAATCTTTTTCTCTCGCGCTTTTCTATATATATATATATATATATATATATCTCTATTTTTTCTCTCTTAGAATCGTCTTTTCCTTTCTCTCCCCTCGTCGTGCGCGTCTTCTCGTGAAACGGTATGCAACTTTTCTTCGCGAAGAGACGAGCTGTCGCTCAGTAACTTCTCGATGACGAGAGAGAGAAGATCGATTCGCGATAGGGGAAACGGGAGAAGAAAAGAGAGAAAAGAGGAAAAGATAGAGAAAGAGAGAGGAGAGAGAGAGAGAGAGAGAGAGAGAAAAAAAGAAAATAAAGTTGGGAAAGCTTTCGGTACTTCGGTGCGCGTTCCTTTTCCTACCTCGCAATCGTATGTCGGATATGGTTGTTAAAATACGGAGAGGTGCTGATCAGACGGAAAGGAGAATACTTCGCTAACAGGACAGGAGACGGCGGGTGAGGGAGGAGACGGGGGGGAACCGTACGCACGCTCTCGGGGAAAACTAGCGCGGTTCGCGTTCGCGTGAATCGAGGCACGCGTTCGAAACGGAGACACAGCTACGTCGCTGAGACGCTATCACAACCGTTTGTCCTCCTACGAAGTAGTTACACGTCTCGACACGAGGAATACATAACGACGGAACTCGCCGGATGCGGCCGCACATATTCGCAGCGCGGCGCCAACTTTCCGCGACGGTCAGGCGACAGACGCAGCCGAGAACACGCCTCGTTCTCGATCGAACAGCGCGAACTTGGCGCGGCGAACGACGGATCGGAGAATGCGCGCGTGTATGTGTGTGTGTGTGTGTGTGTGTGTGTGTGTGTGTGTGTGTGTGTGTGTGTGTGTGTGTGTTTGGCAATTTGTTTCCGCGACTTTGCGACTTTCGTTGCGGGCTGTTTTATGCGTTTTCCATCCGTTTTTCTCCGTGAAAATCACGTGTAATATATCCCACGAGCAGTGCCATTCCTTCGCCGGCCGAGAGTTCTTAGCGCGCGATCGGACGTGGAAGTGACGCGCGAGAGGAGAGACGGCGAGCCGCAACACCGTCCACGATAGAATGGATCTCTTAGCTTAATCACTACACACGTGCGAGAAACGTTCTAGTGACGATGCCTCTTCTTTTCTTTGTTCTTTATGTTAAGCGTTATATATATATCAAAAGAGTGAAAGCGGGATTCTGTCGCGTGTAGCACGCACCTCTCGGCATCCCGACTGAGTGACTGAACACGTCACTACGGCTGCTCGCGTGACAGCAAAATCGGACTTCGCCCCAACTTTTGCACTTAAGGACGACGGTCGCACAGTCCTCGTTCTCGCGTGATCTCCACTTCCAACCGCCGCCGCCGCCGCAGCCGACGGACGGCAGGTCGCCGAGACTAAACGTTCGTCGACGTCGCGTGCGCGCGAGAAGCGGAGGTGCCGAACGCGGTTCGGAGGGCCGCGCTAGGGATATCCGCTCCTGCGTGCGCCATCCAGACAACACAAATCGAAATGAAAGAACGTTTTCGCTTCTCAGACACCGTCCGGAGTCACGTCCAAGGGACGTGACCGTTCGCACGGACGCACGTTCCTTGGACGCGCTGTTCAAATGAATTACAAGCCGCAGCAGACAACGCGAAAGAAAAAAAAAAAAAAAAAAACACTCGAAAGGATCGAACGATTGACCAAGCGAATTGTCAACTTGAATGTGTATAAGTATCCTTCAGATATCTTTCTCGAGTACCGTCGGGCGTCCTCAGGTGCCTCTTGTGCGTTTATGTTGTTTGGATATCGTCTTGGATACACGTCTTGGAACGAAGGCATACAGGAGTCCGCGAAAATCAAGCACTCGACGAGTAGCGAACGTGCGAGCGTCGCTCCTTCATCAAGCCTTTACACCTCGATTGAGACGCAACGGGGAATGAGAGTAGACCTAGACTTAATCACGCTGCTCAACGGCTTTCGCCTCGCGAGTTACGCTTTTCCACGCGCGTCTACGTCGGGAAGGACGCGGCCACTCTGGTGACTCGCAACGCGCGCATGTACCGACGTTGTCCAGCGGAACACGAGGGTGACTCGCAAGAGTGGCTCACGAGAGTGATATCTCGCGTTCACGAGCCGATCGGCGTCGTTGGCAGCGCTTAGATACACGACGAATGAGCACGTGTGCGAGCACATATTTGTCCTTTTTGTCTCCCTGATCTCTCTCGGCACTTTTCGATTCTCTGCACTTGTCGCGCGAATGCGACTCGCGCTTTGTACGACACGCTCCTGACTTTGTCGAGAAATATTTGTTCAGTATGCTCTTGGCTGATGCAATGTCGACTGAGGCACAGTTTGCGTCGGACGCGATCTGTTACTTAGGTGAATTGTTACTCTGGCGAATGCCGCGGAACTACCGCCTCTCAAACTTGATTTGTGCTGATCGAGATGACGTGAGACGATGT